TCCTACTTCACTAGTCAAAAAAAAAAAAAAAAAAAAAAGAAGAAGCTGAATGTCCAGCCCACGCTGTGAAATGGACTCTGTCCCTTGTATTAATTGAACCTGCCACTGTGTACGTTGCAGGAGAGCTCTATTCATCACAGGACAATCCCAAACACCTGAGATTTTCTTGCCTCCCTGCAGGTAAATACAAGGTGGTTCTAGAAGATTCACACTGTTGTTCTATAGCGAGCACTCGGAATGTACACTAAGCATGTGCCCACCCAGAGACGGCATTGGTAAGTCTCGGTGGCGCAAGAACACCCCTGAAAGGTTTTGGAAATCTAGGGGTGTTCATGGGTTGCCATTATAATTGGGGAAGGGAGATACAGTCCTGGTCTTTAGTGGCCTGATCATATCCCATGACTCATGCTCGACAATTGTCCCACACAATACAGAATTGTCCCCCACAATACAGAATTGTCCCTCGAGCTGCCCCATTCACTTCAGGATGTGCCAGTGGACATTCACGCCCATGAAAACCCTGTTTGTAATAACTGGGGTCTAGCCACTATGCGATCTATGCATGTAACAAAGTTACACTTGTACCCCAACATTTTAAAAATTTTATTTATTTATTTACTTATTTTTGTAGAGACAGGGTCTCACTACATTGCCCTGGCTGGTCTCAACTCCTGGCCTCAAGCAATCCTCCCACCTGGGCCTCCCAAAGTGCTGGGGTTATAGGCGTGAGCCGCTGCACAGGACCTGTACCCCATGAGTGTATGAAAAAAACCCCTGGAGTCTAGAACTCGACTCTGTTTTGTGTATACACTATTTAAAGTATTTTCCTGGCCGGGCACAGTGGCTCACATCTGTAATCCTAGGACTCTGGGAGGCTGAGGTGGGAGGATCGCTCAAGGTCAGGAGTTCGAGACCAGCCTGAGCAAGAGCGAGACCCCATCTCTACCAAAAATAGGAAAAATTAGCCGGGCATGGTGGCGCATGCCTGTAGTCCCAGCTACTCGGGAGGCTGAGGCAGAAGGATCACTTGAGCCCAGGAGTTGGAGGTTGCTGTGAGCTAGGCTGACGCCATGGCACTCTAACCTGGGCAACAGAGTGAGACTGTGCATAAAAAAAAAAAAAAAAAAAAAAAGTAAAGTATTTTCCTGTATGAGTTCACATACGCCAAATACAACTCATTTTTAATCTCATGGCTACCCACTTTTCTGCCTAGATTTTTGCATGGAATGGTTTTCTGATCTTTTCCCCCACTTAAACTCAACTTATTCATTATAAACAGGTGGCCTGCGTCTGGCCCCCTTGCCACAAGTTACTTGTGATGGAAGCATTTACATGTGGAAATGCAGACCATTTTATTAGAAATCTTTCCTTTATATCACAGTTTGGACACATACTGACTGTTGGCAAGCCAAACGCATGAGCCAGTTCACGAACGGAATGAGACCTGATGTTTACTCTGTTCCAGGCAGACTGTTTGAAAGCCCTTCCACATGGAGCGCTTCAGTTTGGCAGCACCTAAGAGGGTCAGCGTATTGATGACCCCATTTTACAGGTGGGAAACTGAGGCAGCAGAGAAGGTAAGGAACCTACCTAAGTCACACAGCCGAGCAGCAGCAACGGGTAGGTTTGATCTGGGCCTCTGTGAACCAAACCTGAGGCTAGAAGCCCTCTCTACTATTACCTAAGAATTCCACATGAGCAGAATAAAGGAGAGGTAACCAAATATTTGTTATAAAAAGGGGGGACTGGATATAAACAGCTCAAGAAACCCCACAGCAACTGTGGAGAAAATACAGAGCCTGACCAGATTTTTGGAACTTCTATCATCTTTACCTCCTGCCAGTTCTTCCGGTGCTTAATGAAATGTCCCATAACTCAGGCCCATTGTAACTTCTGGGGGACCCCGGCCTTCTCACCCAGAGCTGTGGCGTTTTATCCCTCCCTCCGTTCCTTAGGTCTCGGCCAGCTCCTTCTCAGAGGGGACCCACTCCGCCACCCGATCCCTGCCCACCTCTCACCCCACCTCATCACCCATGAGTTAAAATTCTTTTTCACACCCTTGGTGTGAATCCTGCCAAAGGCCATTTTGAAAGCCTAAGTCAGGACACCGTTCTTTTTACAGCACCTTCAAGCATACGATGCATTGTCACCCAAGCACTTTTCCCCATGGCAGATGGGAAACTCGTGTCACAGTCAGGGGCCAGTGGCGGCAACTTTCTCTCCCTCTCTCATGCCTTGTCTTGGGGTGGCACTATGTTCCCGCTTTCCTCACTGCGGTTTCTGATCATTCCATTATTAATATGCACCATCCTTTATATGTCAATCCGCAAGCATATTTCTAATCTCTAGCCTCAAGACTCTTCCTGGAAGAAACTATCATGGCAAAAACTGACAGGCGGAAAATGATGACACGCACGGTGTGAATGAATCCTGGACACCGCAAATAAAATTATGCATGCGTGTGACTGAATGAGGCCAGGCCATAAATAAATTATGCAAATGTGCATGGCAGTCATTGGGGCTGTGGGAAATAAATTAGGCAAATGTTTGTAAAGGAAGCCGGTACGCATGAGCAGGTTAAGAACGCTGGACAGCTGAGAGGCAACTGATTATGAGAACGGTGGGTGTAAATCATGCGCTCTGGGTTCTCATTTTGTCTCGCTCTCTGGAATATAATTATGCAGAGTCGTCATTGGGCTTCTATGTACATTGGGCTAGAAGGAGTAAAAAATTACACGAAGTGGACATAAATTATCCCGACATCAGAAATCAATATGAATAATGAATGATTATGCAAAACCATGATATGCGTATCGGGCAAATCCAGAGCTACATTATGCAGATGTGGGCATGCAGCCGTGCAGGCCCGTGGATTAAATTATGCAAATTGCACCGAGTTACCCAAACCAATTGCACTGTCAGAAAACACAAGGCTGGATTATGGCAAGTGTAGTATGAATTATGCAAATGGAGGCTGTTTTATGGCAAAGGCGGGATAAATTATGGCAAAAGACAGGGAGTGTAGGAAAACATGTGGACACACCTGGCATGCGTACAGGAATCACAGGGGGTTCTGTTAGCGCATGCAGCACTCGGGTAACAGTGACAGTTAAAAGAATCCCTTCTGGGTTGTGTGTACTAGTGGGAATCCCTTCTGGGTGGGAGTACGCTGTAGTGGGATATCCCTTCTGGGTGAGTACGCTGTAGTGGGAATCCCTTCTGGGTGAGTGCGCTATGGTGGGAATCCCTTCCGGGTAAGTGTGCTGTGGTGCAAATCCCTTCCGGGTGAGTGCGCTGTGGTGGGATCCCTTCCGGGTGAGTGCGCTGTGGTGGGAACCCTTCCGGTGAGTTCCGCTGTGGTGGGAATCCCTTCCGGGTGAGTGTTGCTGTGTGTGGGAACCCTTCCGGGTGAGTGCGGCTGTGTGGGGACCCCTTCCGGGTGAGTGCGCTGTGGTGGGAACCCCTTCCGGGTGAGTGCGCTGTGGTGGGGACCCCTTCCGGGTGAGTGCGCTGTGGTGGGAACCCCTTCCGGGTGAGTGCGCTGTGGTGGGGATCCCTTCCTGGTGAGTGCGCTGTGTCGGGAATCCCTTCCGGGTGAGTGCGCTGTGGTGCGAAAGGGTGGCCCCTGTGGGCGGATGAGCGCTTGCGGAACCTTCCAGAGCCGTGGCCGGGTGGCACCAGCAGGACTCCGGCCCTGTGGTCGGTGGCCCTCTGGGCTGTGAGCATGCATTTCTGCAAACACACAAATCACACACGCACCCAGAAAGTGCCCCGGCTCCTTGCTCACCTGGACCACTCCTGGGGAAAAGACGGCGAGGATGAGATAGAGCCAGACGTAGGCGAAGATGCTCCAGGACGCGGTGACGAAGAAGACCCTCAGGTGCTTGATCTTGCGGCTCTCGCCAGCCGGGATGACGTAGATGCACACGGCGATGACCACGAACATGTTAAAGGCGGCGCTGCCCACGATGGTGCCCGGGCCCAGCTCGCCCGCCTGGAAGTTGTGGCCGCACACCTCGATGACGGACAGCAGGATCTCGGGCGCCGAGGAGCCCAGCGCCATGAGCGTGAGGTTGGACACCGTCTCGTTCCAGATGCGCACGGTGCCCACGCTGGTCTCGCCGTTGGCCTTGGTGATGGTGATCTCCTTCTCCTTCGACGTGATGACCTCGATGGCCGCCATGAAGCGGTCGGCGATGATGGACACGCCCAGGAACATGTAGACCATGGCCACGAAGTAGACCACCGCCCGAGCCGCCTTGTCCCCCAGCGACGGGTCGTCGGGCTCCCACACGGGCAGCAAGACCCCCGGCTGGCAGCGGTTGGAGCCCTGGCAGCCCCCTGTGCTGGTGTCGCTGTCATTGGCGGGGGGAGGCGGCAGGGAGGGGGTCGGGGTGGCCGCCCCGGAACATGGGGGAGCCCCCAGGAGGAGCGCGACCCCCACCAAGGCCAGGGGAGCCATGGAGGGTGGTGGGATCCTATGGGGGAGGAGGGGGAGGTCCGAGTCACACAAAAGTCAAAGCTGGTTTGGGGGGGGGGACATGGGGGAGCTGAGGACCAATACAGGGAGGACCAGGAACGAGGGAGACAGACACAGGGAGACGCAGGGCGCGCCAGATGCAGACCAAGAGGAAAGAAAGGTAAAGACAGGAACTCGCGCTCGCTGCTGGTGGGAATGGGAATCGGGCTAAGCGCTTTGGAGAGCTACAGCTGAACATCACGCGTGCTACGACTCAGCAGCTCTGCTCCTAGATACGTAGCCACGGGAAATAGGTCCATACGTCCACCAAAAGGCACCTACGAGAACATCCACAGCAGCCTTATTTGCAAGAGCTCCAAGCTGAAAAGCACCAGCTGCCTGTCAGCAGGACAGTGGAGTGGCTCGCAGTGGAATAGTACGCAGCACTGAAAAGGGAGCGAACGCCCCATGCGCTCCATGGCCCGGGTGAATCTCCCGGCCACAGTGAAGGCTGAACACAGCCGCGCACACTAGGACGCAGGCTGTGTGATTCAGGGTGGGAGGCAGGGACATGGTGGCCCTAGATTCATTAGGTGATTCTAATAGTTCCCAACTTGGCCCTCAGAGAGCTCCCGCTTGGGATTGACACTGTGGCGGGTGCTGGGGTGTCGGTCTGTCTGTCTCAGGGGGGGCTAGGAGAGGTGGCAGTGGGTGTCAGTCCCTCCAGCACCCTTGGGTCTCTGATCTGGGCTGTTCCCAGCTCTGTAAGGTGCACGGTTCCTTAGCAGCTGTGCCACGCAGGCCCTGTGTTGGGCTTTCTGTCCCATCTGTGGGCGTGAGGTCGCTGCTGTCCCCGTTCTTCTCTCCCTGCTGTGGTCTGGGTTTGAGTGGCTATTACTGTGTCTTGTCCAGGTTTCTTTTATTTATTTATTTTCTATTTTTTTGAGACAGAGTCTCACTTAATTGCCCAGGCTAGAGTGAGTGCCGTGGTGTCAGCCTAGCTCACAGCAACCTCAAACTCCTGGGCTCAAGCGATCCTGCTGCCTCAGCCTCCCCAGTAGCTGGGACTACAGGCATGCGCCACCATGCCCGGCTAATATTTTTCTATATATATCAGATGGCCAATTAATTTCTTTCTATTTATAGTAGAGACGGGGTCTCACTCTTGCTCAGGCTGGTTTTGAACTCCTGACCTCGAGCGATCCTCCCGCCTCGGCCTCCCAGCGTGCTAGGATTACAGGCGTGAGCCACCGCGCTCGGCCCAGGTTTCTTTTAAAACCACAAATCAGTCCATGTCCCTTCTCATCTGCTCAGAACCCTCCACGGCTCCGCTGTCACTCCGAGGGCCAGAGTGCTCTCTGTGGCCCGGGAGGTCCAGCATGATGTGGTCCCCCCATTCCGCCTGCTCCTCGCCCAGCCAGCTCCACCCCCGTCCTCCGTTGCGCAGCCTCTCGGGAGCTTCTGCCTTAGGGACCCTGCACCTGCTGTCCCCACTCCTGGGACACTCCGCTAGCCTTGCTCCCTCCTCCCATCGGGTGTACATCCTGATGTCACCTTCCCTGACCACCCTACCCAAACTGATACCATCCCCCTTTGGGGAGTCCCCACCCATTTCACAGATGAGAGGACCAAGGCTCAGAGAGGTTAAATAACTTGCCCAAAGTCACCCAGCACCAACTCTGTGGCTCCTATCTTCTCTCTCCTCGAAGACCCCCCCACCACATAGTCACCTATGAAAATACGGAGGGAGGGAGGAGCAGGGGTGCCCTCGGAGCCTCCACCATCCCAGACCCCCTTCTTGTCCACCAGCTTCATTTTCTCCCAGTAACCTCCATTTCTGCCTGAAAAGTTCTTCCGGGAGTCTAACCCACAGCCTGTCCCCAACTCACGCCCACGTACCTACGGGCTGGGAGCTGGCTCCTCTGGGGGAGGGAGGCAGAATGTTGGCAGAACTTCCCAAGAAGGAGCGAGCGAGCCAGGGAGCGTGTGCGTGTGTGTGTGCGCGCGTGTGTGTGCGTGTGTAGGCGGGGGCGGGAAGAAGGGTTTAAAGGGCCACTGCACAATTAGCCCCCTCAGCAAGGTCCCTGATGATACATCTAATTAGCAGCCCCCTAATTAGCAGCGACTTAGGCATAATTACAAACCCACCAGGATCCAAAGCAAAAAGAACTCGAGCTCTCTCCTCCCTCCCTCCTTCTCGGCTTCCAGGAGGAACGGGGACCACCTTGGAGTCAAGAATGCATCTAGGGCGTCTGCCTCCTTCGCTCAGGGAGGTGGCCGCGCCCTGGGAAGTCCTCCCTCGAGTTTAACCACCTGTCCCTCCTCCCGCCACAGTCCTCCAGGGACAGCCGGGGCAGCGGATGGGTGCTCTCATGCCTGTCCTTCTTGCTCGGGCCAGGAGAAGCAGCCTGGCTCAAGCCCCTTTCCTGCAAAATGTGGTTTCCTCTCTCTGGGGCCTGGTGGGGGGAGAAGTCAGAGAGGGAAAACACTGGATAAACATCTTTGAAATGCTCTCTCTAGAGGCTCCGGCCTCTGCCTCTCCGTCCCCCAGCAGCCCTGAAACCCAATCCAGGTTTAGAAGCCGGGGGCAAAAGGATCAGGTGGAGCCCAGGGCGGGAGCCGGGAGGGCAGATGGCGGGCACCATTTCCCGGGCCGGGGAGGCGGCCACGTCTCCCAGGGCCATCTCGCCTCCCTCACCCACGTGGGCTGCGGCCAGCTGGGTCAGCAGCCAGCGACCCTGCTCTGCCTGGCACGCCCCTCGGGGCCTGGGTGTCCTCGTCTGTCAGCGGGACTGCTAGCTTTGGCGCGGGTGCAGTCTGGCACACGGGGGGGGGGGGGGGTGACCCCTCTGTCATGCCCTTCACCCAGTGTGGGGTTCCCGCTGTGCTCAGGGCCACCTCTGGCCCTCGGGGAAATGCCAGGTGGGACAGGGCTCCACGACATGACACTTCCTCCAAGCACTCGCAGCGCCCCAGCTGGGAATCACACGTGGAGTTGGGGTGTTCCAGGCTGTGACATGCCAACCAGTTGAGCTGAGGTCCACGAGGGGGAAGAAATATCAGCCAACCACAGTTCAAGTCCGGGAGGCGGTGGGGATGGAAAGTGAAGGCGTGGACTTCCACCCGTGCTCTTTTTAAGTCACCTGGAGCCCCACGCGCACATCACGCTGGGTAGCCTCACCCACGGCCAAATACACCACGCGCGCACACACACACACCTCTCCCCTCGTCACTGTACCCGCCTCCTCCGGGATCCCCTTCCCTAAGGGAAGGAAAGAAGAGGCCCTGGCACCGGGGGGCCTCAGGACTCGAAGGGCCTTTCGGAGCTCCCCAACCCAAGGGGTGGCAGACAAGCTCTTGGAGATCCACCCCACCCAGGACAGTGTCTTTTAGGCTGGCATGCCATAAAAGGGATGGAAGTGAGAACTGCAGGAAGGGTGCTGGCCTGGCATGACCCAGTCCTAGTGCCGTGCCTGGAAGGTGGTAAAGCATTCAGTGATGGGG